AATAAAAGATTTGGAAATTTTGATGTAGAAGTGTGAATGCTTCTATTTGCTGCTTGGAGGGTAAAACTTGCTTCTGGCAGCAAAAAATAAAGGCAAATGGCTCCTTCAAGCAAGGCTGATAAGAAGGCTGCAGGTGATGTGGCTGCATGGATGTTCAATGTGGTCACTTCAGTTGGAATCATTATTGTTAACAAAGCCTTAATGGCTAACTACGGGTTTTTCTTTGGTAAATTTCTCTGCGATATTCCATCACTTTCTCAGAACAGCATTCCTTTGTATTAAGATTCCAGCTACATTGGTTATATCTATTAATTTCAATTAAAAGGAATCTGGATATAATATCACGAAATATAATATTCTGAACTCTATAATCTACAATGTTATAGCTATATGCATTACTTTTTTAAAAAGGAAAAAATAAATAGAAAATGACAGTCTGATGGGACATTTAGCACGAAGAGAAACACATGCTTCTTTGAACTGAATCTCACAATTTACAGGAAGTACAAAAATTACTTAGCGGATATGAATTTAATACTTGTAACATTGAAAAGAGACTCTTAAGACAAACTTGAACCTAAGCAGGTTTGCAGCACCGGCATTTTCATGTTAAAGCTGATTAATGTTTTTTTTTGCTTGTTGGACAATGAAGATTTGACATTCTATACACTTTTTTCAGTCTTTTCGTTATATGGTTGTTCTAGCTTTTGATTACAACAATCTTTGCAGCAACAACATTAACGGGGATGCATTTTGTTACAACAACTTTGATGACGATTCTTCTTAGGTGGCTCGGGTACATCCAAGCTTCTCATTTACCCCTTCTAGATCTTCTAAAATTTGTACTGTGTGCAAACTTCTCTATTGTTGGGATGAACATCAGTTTGATGTGGAACTCGGTGGGATTCTACCAGGTAATTCTATGCGCATCACATTCATCCCGCTCTTCTGATTCTATTGAGGACTTCAAATACTAATCTCCATTATCACTCTCAGATTGCAAAGTTGAGTATGATCCCTGTCTCATGCTTACTAGAAGTTTCCTTTGACAAGATCCGCTATTCAAGGGACACAAAGCTGAGCATTGTTGTGGTACTCCTAGGTGTTGCTGTTTGCACAGTTACGGACGTGAGTGTTAATACCAAAGGCTTCATTGCTGCCTTTGTAGCTGTATGGAGCACTGCTCTACAACAGTATGTAAGTTGTCTCGGCAATTTAATATCTTATGCCATCTTGAAAAGCTTGATTTGATCAGTTGAATAACACACCATTACACCGAGGGAATAGATGCACCATCAATAAGGTGCCATTTGATTACCAGACTAGTAATCCAGGTATTATAGCACAAGGGTCCAGTTGAGTGTTTGAGGTACTCTATTAGAGTAACAGTTTGGAGATCCTAGGATTCAAATCCAGTTATTGTACTAGGTGTGAGCCCATATATTCTTGTCTTAGTGCGAGCACAGATTTACTCGGAAACTGTATTTGTGGTTGTAGCAGGCGGGTTAGTGGATTAGTTAAGTTGCATGCCACTTAAGTTGGAGACAACCATCGTAAAAAAGTAGTTATGCAAGGATTCTAATAATTCAAGATTAGTTATATATTTAGTATACTTGTAAACCTTTTTAGTTTTAGAAAACCTAAAGGTTTTGTAAGAATCCCTAACTTTGTTTTTATTCAATTTTTGAATTTTTTTTATGTTTAAACATAAATCCTCCAACATTAAAGGCATTTTGTGCTTAGGTGCTCTTATCGAGGTATTGCTTCTGTGCACATTTTATTCTACATTATACCCCCTATAGAACATAAGTGGGCTCTTGCTGTCCTGCAAGATATGCAGGTATTGCTTCTGATGAGTTTTATATAGGAAGCCAAAGGTTGTATTAGCAATGCAGAGTTGTAATAGTAATATAGAGTTTTATATGGGAAATCACACTCTATATTAGTCAATTTTTTTGGATAAGTAAAATGAGACGTTTTATTGATAATGCAAAGTTTGTTTTGGAAACAACAAGACCTAAGCCTCATCTAGAAATGGAAAACTTGTTTCCTGGGAAATTCTATACAACTTGTCACTTCTGTGCTTGACGTGGATTTGAAAAAATAATATTTTACTCCTATTTTTAGTCTTCTAATTTTCTGAAGCTCTTCTCTTTGAATGTAATTGCACTTGGTCAAAAACTGATATTTGCACTTGGTTTTGTATATGCAGTATGTTCATTACCTTCAAAGGAAATACTCCCTTAGTTCTTTCAATTTGCTGGGACATACTGCACCAGTTCAGGCTGGAAGTCTGCTGCTATTAGGCCCGCTTGTGGATTATTGGTTGACCAACAAGAGGATTGATCACTTTGACTTCACTTTTCCATCTTTGGTTAGTACCTCACTCTTGAATTGTTGTTTGATTTGTTAATTCTTCAAGAAAAATGGTAGTGAAAAGTAATTCTTATGTTTGCAAGTTGCAAGCTTGAACGGTCTTAGGTATATCTTTTGTATGATACTTTGATGTATGTTTATATTATTTCACTGTCAAAAAGTTATGATTCTGCAATATTGATTAATTACGACTTTAAGATGCACCTATCCGCTGTTAATTGTTATATGGGCTTGGCTTATTTTGACCCCCCAAAAAGTTGTACGAATAGGTCCCAGATTTTGCTACTGCTGAATAAAGCTGATATAGAACATTCAGACCAATGTTCATCTCATGCTTAACTTGCTTTACTGTGTTGACTGTTATTTTCAAGAGAGTAGGATTTAGTGCTCACCAATGTATTTTTGAATGTGATCACAGCGCATAAGTAATTTTTGCCATCAATTGAAAAAAATATCTTATTTCCCCAGCCTATTTTGCATCTCTGTTTTTGTGAAAGTAGATGATGGACCTCATTTGAATAGAAAACTTGTGTGCGGGGGGTTTGGGGGGGGGGGGGGTGAAAAAAAAATT